GGCAATATTTTGAAAAAAGAAAGCTCTGACACGGTGGTATAAATGTGCTTAGTTTTTGGAGGAGCAGTTTTGTATTTTTATGTGTATGCACATTTATGAACCACTGATATTTGTATTCCATAATTCAGATATATAATGTATTTCCCAAAGTTCACTTATTCAGTGTAGCAGATCTGACAAGTGTGTACATAAATGCTCCACACTGTTCTTGCCTGATGAGCCAGTCCCTGTCTGTTCAAGGCCACAGAGAATTTTGGGACGGTCCAGTAACACCCACTAATTTGTAGCATTTTTCAGACTATTGTTCTTCTCACATATTCTTTTATCAATGAAATGAAATGTTTTGTTTGTTTTTTACTCATAAGCTGCTATGCATTTCTTTGATTGGTTAATCCACCTGCCAGTCACACCCACTGGAAGTAAAGGAGACATGAATGCAGACCTTAATGTAACTGCATGGGTTCTTGGCAAAACAGACACACATTGTCCTGTTGTATTGTGAACACTTTCACTCATATTTTAATGTCACTACAAAGAAGTTATTTCTGCAAAAAAAAGTCCAAATGTTATTATTATATGATCTGCATGAGAAACCATCATAGTTTCATGGCTTACAGTATATACAGTATACACAGCAGTGTTGCTGATCTAAATTACTGGTGACTGCGGAAGTCCCGACTGTCTGTCTTGCACCACACTTTCCATTTCCATGTGTAGGAGTAAAAGGGAAAGAAGAGGAATCAATAAGACATTAGCGGAAAGTCATCTGAAAACTCTGGAGTGATCTAAAGCTTATTACGGCTGGGAGCTAAGGAAGTTGGAGATCATTTATTTAGGGTGAGTTACTTTAAGACTACTGTTATATTAAATTTATTCCATCCATTTGACCATGCTATTGGGAGAATGTGTAAATTACAATAACAAGCTGAGGGCACAATCATTCGCATATATTTTATGCTTTTTACGACCACAATTTAAAGTTGGAACATGGTGTAAAATGTTAGAAAAGACATAAAAAATCTTTCATATGCAATAGACACTATTATATAAATATTCACCATACTCTTTTGAATAGAATATATGCATGTGGGATTGAGAAATATTTTATTATTTCTTTAAAAGTGGCAGCCGACTTTCAGGGTGGCATAAGAAGCATCTGTTGGAATACTCAATAAAACAGACAATAAAAGCTCATCTTTTGTCCATAACTATGACAAAAAATATTAGCAAAAAATGTTAGCAACTTTCACACTGAACATGGCAGAAACACAAATAACCATTTTTATTGGGTGCCTTCAAGCTAAAAGCAATATACAGACTAAAACCATAGAGTTTATAGTTTTAGTGCACAATGTGGTGGCACTCCAAACAATGCACTTCCAGACAACAGCCTGGTCGAATCCTCTGGAGCAGGGTTGTGTCCAAGGCCGTGTCGGGGCTGACATAAGCAGCTCGTGAGCAGCCGTTTGCCCATATGTGCCTCACGCCCCACTGTCCCCAGTGGGTCCTGGCGCACTGCAATGATACCATCTCATCTGCCAACATGGAGCACTTGGACTAAACAACCCAATTCCTTCTCTGCTTGGCTTATTTGGACCTCATTGGCTTGTGTTTTAATTTGTAAAGATAGAGAAGCCAGTTTGTCAACCATCTGAAGTCCAATTGAATGGTGGTGAAACTTTACCTCCAAGCCCTTCACATTTCAGAAACCAAGCAGCATAATAAATAATTTATATGTACATACGAAAAAGAAAATACTGTAGCTGTAAATTACTGGAAATCATCATTGGAAAATATGAAATGATCCATAATCTTATCAATTACTGATTATAATATGGCATTGATAACATACGTTTTCATTATTTAATAATCACACAGTTTGTAATGAAAAAAAAAAAAAAAAAAAAAAAGATAAGATGTGATCAAATAAAAAATTCAATCTAAACTTTACTTATTTAAGTAATGAGATCACAAAATTAAATTTTGCTTTGCTATTCTGAAAAATAAGTTTGATATAAATCAAGCAGACCCACTTTACATTCAGAGCTGCAGTGGATGTTTAGGCTAATTGAAGACTGTTGTCCAATTACAAAGGTGTGAGTCCTTGAGGCCATTATTGATGATGACATATGCCACAGGAAGCAGAAGTCCAGGATCATATGAGCACAGTGTGAGCAGGTCCTGGGAGGCTCGCTCACATATGTCTGGGGCTCAAACAGTTGGACGTGGCCGAGGGCTAAACTGGGTCAGACTGACACAGATGGAGACTAAACTCCCACCGGCTCACTGGCACATGACTAATACAGAAAGGAGTGAGCTGATATGAGCCTGTCTTCCTTTCAGAGTATATGTAATCTTATCTAAACCTTACTATGAAAGTCAAAGTAGGACAAATGCACTACAAGGTTGAAGTTACTGTATATGTTATTGGCACAGTTTTTTAAATTTGCCCCATCTTTCAGTCCCGCTGAGACAACCTGTCAGGAGCAGAAGGGCACCCTTCATGACATCTTCATGGTCAGTACTACCTAGCTGGAGGATCTTGTCCATGTTTATGGTTAATGATAAAACCAGGCATGATGAGAAAATGCAAACTCCACACAGAAACCACTTGTAAACCAGGAATTTGAACATTGGTCCCTTGGTTCTTTATTGGTTGCTCCAGTGACAGTGCAAGATTGTAAAATTAAAAGAATAAATAAACCTATCCACCCTATCCATCAACTACACCTTCAAAATACAAAATATCTTAAATGAGAAGTAATGAAATATAACGAGTTATATTTAAAAATCTATAATCAATCAAATCTTATCATCAATATTATCAGCATAATGTTTAAGTAAAAGGCATGTTTTGGTTCACAGTGTGGCACAATGTCTTTGAAGGTCATCTAGGAACAAAGCCATTATGCTTTTGTCAAGTTATAAGTATGTCACAGATTAAATGCAGTGAAAGCTTCAGGCAAATGTCCTTGCTCGTCAAAACCTCCATTAGAGGCAGAATGTGAGGCAGTAATTGGAGAGTTGAAAGGTCACACATCCATTTGTTCAGTTTAAAATAGGAGGTAAATTCCATTCAGTATGTTTCCTATTCACATGATTCAACACAAATCTGAAGCCAAAGAGAAATCAAGAGTTGTAGTGAGGTCCGAGCTTGTGTGAAAGAGCACACTGAATAGATGCAGATGCCATTCATGTGGCTCTCAGCTGCTTTTGTGAGTCTCTGGACATAGGTTATATGAACACTCTTCCCTTTTACAAATCTGACCTTCCAGTTGCCATTTGACTCTATTTAATGTACTTTTGACTTGAAAAGTCCCATCCACAATCTCTGTTGAAACACAAGGTTAGGTAATCCTGTCCATAACAGAAAATACCATTTCACCAGGGCACTGGCCTCCTGGTCCTGTGTGAAACCATGCATTAGTCCTTGGGTGGCATGGCTGTTGGAACCTGTCATATGTTTACAGAGAATCACTTGGATGAAAGTCAAGTTTGCAGCTGCAGCATTGGAATAATTCATTGCATGTCTTTTACCCAGGAGGAGCCACAGGTAGTTGATGAAGTGGCAGTGCCAAGACTTCCAACTGGCGAAGACGAAGCGCAGCTGCCGGGAGTCAGCGCGGCCAGATGCCGCTGCTGATGTACCATGTGTTCCAAGCAGGGCAACAGTGTGTTTGTGTGCGAGCTTCGGTGGGAAGGGAGAGAAGGGAAAGCTTGCCAAGGCATTCACACATTGATGCCAACCTGACACATGCTCGGGTACTCCCCGTGGTTTGTGCTAGCATCATACCCTCTTTGGCGGATCTGTCGGGGGTCCCTCTCTTCTCCTCTGTCTCTTTTTTCCTGATCCAGTCCTTTGCCAACGCAGGAGAGGCATCTGCTCGTGGTCGTCCTGCCAATACGGTGGAGGATCCTTTCAGGTGGTTTAAGTTGATGGTGAATTGGCAGCAGGCCATGGCACCAAAGATACATTCGATACAATGGGTTTTCTCCATACCTTTACATTGGCCCTATTTGGGAGTCTGTTAAATAGCTATAAACAAATGTGTGTAAAACCCATTTTCTTATTCATGTTCCGTAATCGCTCACCCTGGCGACAAAATGTGGCCAATTTCCAGGACACAATTCCAAAATTACGCGTCGTCAACGTCTGGTTTTGATTCTTCTTACAACGATCCATCGAGCCAAAGCGCGACTCCACCATCTGTACCTAAAAAATGTTAACAAATAAATCGTATTTGTAGTCGTGAAAATTCATAATATCCCGGAAATATCCAAACAGTGGGTGCAGGAGTATCATGGCATCCCCTTGAATAATGTTTTTTTTTTTTTTTCCAGAAATGAGAGCGAGTGGTCTTTGACGATACTATTCCTGAGAGTGAAGGGGAGATCTCTGAAACAAAGGCTGCAGTTTTGTTAGGAACATGCCATCACCGTTCACAGTGTAGGGGGTTTGGGGAGGGAAGTGAAAACTTTTTGAATGTGTGCCATGTCTGTACCATTCTCTCATCTAAGGCCCGCGAGTGCCAGCTGGCGGCTGATTGTGCCCACTTGCACTGTAATGATCATGCCAGCCAAGCTAGTTGGCACGCTACTAAACTTATGATCTCCAGCCAAACAGCCCCATATGTAGTAGATAGATATTTTCTGAATATCAGAATAATCTGCACCACAGTTCTGGGAGTTTATAAACATACAATATATAACTTATTGACCACTAAGGTGAAATTATACTGCTAATCAACTATAATGATTAAAAGGTTAAAGTAAATAAAATTTAAAAAAAAATTAGATCCATGTTCTGTATAAGTATATAATAAAATCACAACTAATACTGTTGGTTTGTCCATTAAATTAATCAACTATATTTGGTAATATAAAAATAAATAAAATGGTTGCTTACAGTCAGTTCTCCCCTCCACCAGTTTCTTTGTGCCGGAACTCTTGTCACGGTTCTTGTTTCATTAGGGACAATGAAGCTGATGCACGGTCCGTCACTGAAACAGTACGTACCGGTTTTGTCAACACTGCTCCGCGGTAAGGCCTTAAAATGTTGTTTACTTCACTCGTGTGCTCTATAATAAATCCGTATAATTCTTTTCCTAGGGCATCACTTTTCAAAAACGTGTAAGTGTTTTGTATTTTTTTATATATTTCCCGTTTTACCGCCTGTAACCTTGATATTGACAGTGTAAACGTTTCTCAGCACTCTTTCAGTGTTTGTGTCAGAGTTGTTTTTTTAGGTGTAAAATGCATACCATAACAATATCAAAATAAACATCATTATATATTGTCTGACAGCCAGTAGAAAACAAATGAAGTAGGTTGTATCAGGATCAAGATTAATGTCACATAGTTTGACTTTACTTTAATAAAAACTATTTATTACAGACTATTTTCAATTGTGTCTTATGTTGTGTTACTTTGTAAAAGTGATTTATAATTGCCTTTTTCTTGGTGTGTCTTTAATTTGTTGCAGAGAAAAAAGACATTATTAATGGAGCTCTCTTGATCAGTGTGACACTGGTCCTCTAGTATGTTGCCAGTATTTGGTGTTTCTGCTGCTACTTTCCACTCGTTGAAGTGGTCATGCAGTCAGGGGAAATTCCCTGATAGAAACCGTTGTCCATGGAAGACACTGACCTGGCTTTTCAAAACTGGAGCTCAGAGAAATGCTCATAGATGGACAGTAACGCCTCCAAAGCTAAAGGGGCCTGTATTCGCCCGTGCTGCTTCATATGGAGACAAGACTGCAATTATAGATGATAGTGGCACTCACAGCTATAAACAACTGTACAGCAGCAGTTTGGGGCTGGCAGGTAGAATCAGTACCGCTCTCAGTTGTGGAACAGGGGATGTTGGTGGAAAACGAATCTCCTTCCTGTGTGCCAATGACGCATCCTACACAGTAGCACAGTGGGCTGCTTGGATAATTGGTGGGACCGCCGTGCCCCTGTACAGAAAACACCCTCTGTCTGAACTGGAGTACATCATCTGTGACTCTCAGAGCTCACTGCTGGTGGCTGGACATTCCTTTGCTGATAGTCTAGAGCCTCTGGCACAAAAGTTAGGACTTCCATGTCTGACTCTTCCACCAACCTCCAACCTCAGCAGTTTAATTCAAGTGGACACTCATGAAAAAAGTACCATCAATGACTGGGATGAAAGGTCAGCTATGATCATTTACACCAGCGGGACTACGGGACGTCCCAAAGGAGTACTGCACACACACAGCAGCATCAAAGCCATGGTAAATAAGTCACTTACTTGACAGAACAGATAATGTTTCTGTCGACTGTTAGGTCAAGTTTTAATTTGACGCTTTTAAAAAGACTGATTTCATATTTTAATGACTGATTGATTGCTTTATTGATTGATTAATTTGTTGTTGTTTTTTTTCCCAGTTTGTGCCAAGAGAGTAACAGTAATCTTATACATACTACATGGTCATTGAAAATAACAGAAAAGCAAATTTCTCAAAAATGAGTGGGAAGAAGAAAAAACATATTAACCCACCCCTATTCATTACATATTTTTAAAAATTACATTTATAATACAGTACAATACAAATACAAATATATAATCTTTATTAACAATGATAAAACAACTACTCACAATTACACAGAGTAGAAAAGAAAATTAATACTTTAATAAGCAAAAATGCATTTACTTATTTCTACTTGTATGTGTTTTTCTCCATTTTACATTTCTGAATAATTTCCAACTAGCTATTCTATAATTCTATAACTATAATTGCAGTTTATAAGAGGAAACAGTTAGAATAAGAAGAATATGTTTGTAACAAGTCATCATGTGTCGATGATACACCCAAATGGTTAACTGCAAAAAATAAGTAAGATCCTGATGATTTGTTTATTTTGATAATTTTCCTTTTCCCTGGAATTATTGAATGAAATGCAGTACACAGTAAAATCTACAGTTTAGCACATGTGTCCTTCTGTCCTTCACCTCCAGGTCCACTGTCTGGTGTCTGAATGGGCGTGGTCTAAAGATGATGTCATCCTTCACATTTTACCTCTTCATCATGTCCATGGGATCGTCAACAAACTGCTATGTCCGCTGTCCGTGGGGGCCACCTGTGTCATGCTGCCCGAGTTTCATCCTCAAAAGGTTCACACTTTATTTTGTTAACACTTTCATCCTGAACCTGTACAAAAGTCTCTTCAAGAGAATATTAATTTACTTAAAATGTATAATAAAACAGCAAACTGTTACTGAGATGACAGTAGTTGAAAAGTAGAAAGTTGTTTAATTTGCTGCTGCATCATTTAGACTATAATTGCAACTACAATATTAATATAAACAGTACTACCTCTGCATTAAGAGTGTGAAAGATAATGTTTTTAGTCATGAAATAACTTCTACAATGGGGCTTACTGAAACATTTGTAAAAGCTGATGATGCGTCCCTAACCACCATAAAACACAATAACAGTGTGTTCTGGCATTTTCTGCATTCATTTTCTGCATCTCTTTTCCTCCCAATTGTTCGCTCTCTCACTCCATCTCCCTTGTTTTCTCTCTCTCCCTCTCCCTCCCTCCTTTTTGCTCTATCAGTTTCTTCTCCTTCTCCTACTTCCTCTCCTTCCTTCCTTCCTGACTGTCAAACTAAGTGTTTGGGGCTCAGTGATGAATTGCCCTGTGTGGCTTTGTATCTGACCAATGCCGACTCACGGCAGGGGCTTAAGCAGCGGATCAATCGATGCTCTGACATTGAAGGATGATGCTGCTTGTTTGGCCCTTAGAGGGAGGGGGACAGAGGGCGCTAAGTGTGTCTCTGGACGTGTGCAGAGGCTCAACTTTGCTGTACCAATAGTGTAGTTTCATGCTTCAATTTGTTCTTTCAAGGTTTTGTAGCATATTGGCCATGACGTAAACAGGCTGAACATATGTATTTATCAACTGGGGTATTGCTTCACCATACGAGCTATCAGTATGCTGCTGTTATCCCTGACCTTGTGCACTAAACCACCACCCCCCTCGCTCCGTCTTAGAAAAAGCCTTTATTCTCCTGCTCCTGAAGTTACAGTACATTGACGAAGTGATCGATAGTCTGTCTCTTCTATCCCCTCAGATCTCTGAAGGGTAGCCTAGGCAGCAGAGGCCAATATTGATCTCTCCTGATTTTGCCTCCAGATAGTGACAAGAATTTTCAGTGGAAGAATCGTGATCTACTAAAGAGCAGATAAGTCTATTTCAAGTGTACACGTGTTGCCTGGGAAAAGATACCAAGTCCTCTGAGCTTAAGAATAATTTGTAGTAGTTTTTTTTATTGTTTATTATTTTTCCTTTTTATGTCTGACTTTAGTGATAGTGTTCTGCACAATGAGCAGTAATACAATGCATTTATATTTCATAATATTTATTTTATTATAATTTTATTCAATTGAATGTTTTTGCTTTGTCAACAAAGTGCATAATTATAATCAAGGTTTTGGTATTATATTATAAAAGGCTATTGTTATTTTGGTGAAATTTAAATGTGTCATCATACTTAAAAACAAAACAAACTATAATTTATACTATCTTCTATAATCTCTCATGCTGTATGAATTTGGTCTGCGAGTCGTTATGGTCATCTGGTCTACAGCGAAATAGTACTGATCTAAGCTGATCAGTTCTCACAATAGTAAACTGTTATGAAATTATCAAATACCTTATGTTTTCCTCATATACATTTTTCATAATTCAGGGACACTTATTATATAGAACCTTTATTATTAAATGGCATCTCACCACCCCTCTCACAGTTGTTTTTGATGTGGTCTGTGGCTTTCCTTTGCTCTGCACGCTCCTGTCCCTTTAGTAGAGGCCAACATTTTGACGGACATAAATTGCCTTCCTCTCCCCTGCAGACCGGCCAATGGTGGAAGCGCTCCACTGCACTTGATGGACACCAACCAGGAAGCATAGCCCATGCTCGCTTAATAACCCCCTTTCTCTTCTCTATATTCTGTGTACAGGTGCAGGCTAACATTTCAGATTGCCTTGTAATTTTATTGTGAGTAATAGTTCTGGGGAGAATGATTGGACTCTTGTCAAGTTTAATTATATTTCCTGCCAATTTATTTTGCTGTGTTTGTTTATTAAATGTAGACTATGGAGAAGCGGACCTTAATAGAGTGCGCAGAATGGATAATAGATCTGTATAGAAAGAGGTGACTCAAAGGAGAAGTTTGGAAATTGGCCATACATTAAGAAGGATGTGGTGGTATGTGAGAGGAATGGGTATATGCTGCATCTGTGTTTTTCTATGTGAGAGACAGGAGCTGAGGCAGTCAAGCAAGAAATTATGAAATGGAGAGAGGGGGTAAGTGAATACGAGATAGGACAAGAGGCAGAGGAGGAAGAAGGGTAGACGTAGGGTCAAGAGATGAAAGCAGCAACGGAAAAAGACCAGTTGGGAGGTAATAGGAGGTTTGAGAGTAGAGGTATACTCAAGGTACGTACACAGACCACTGAGGAGGAGCGTTGGTCTCTTCAGGGGTTCAGACTAGACTGGGAAAAGACTGTCTTTCACCTCCACTTAATTCATGACCCAGTGTCTTCATGGTTTCCTGCTGTAAAGCTGGACAGCATATATAGTTGGGCAATATGAAAATGATTTTTTTTTTTTTTTAATCCAATAGTTTTTCAGTGTTCATTTCTTGAATAAAAAACATACAGACTGATTATCAATACGATTTAACACAAAAAAATAGTCATTTTTTTCTGCTCCAAACCACAATTTACTGACTGACTGAACACTGACTATAGACTGGATTAATTGAATTGATTAACTGCACATCACAAATGGGAGGTGCAGGGTTTTTTAAATTTTGTTTTGTTTCTTTTTTGAAGTGTATTTCACACATTATGTGCAACGTAAATTGATTTGTATTATCTGATTTATATTTTAAGATAAAAACTGAAAAGCTGAAAAACTATAAATTAGGTTAGAAATGCTTTCTAAACCTTAGCATCTCATATCAATTTGTGTTTGCAGCTTTCTTCCCAAGCTCACATCTGTGCTACCATTGACTTTGACTGCACAGTGAAGGGTGGGGCAGATATTTCAGTACACTATTGTCCTTGAATGCTTAATTAAAACAGTATTTTTACATGTGCATTGAATGTTTTTGTGTATTAGTCACAGCAGAGCCAGTGAAGGCATGTGTGATGTAGAGGCAAAAGTGGCTCCTTCAGCTGCAGATACATTTGTCACAAGTGTCTGTTCAGGGCCCTACAGCACTCTGGGTTTTCTTCTCCCTGACCTTTACAAATCTTGGCTCTTTCCTTTGCTTCTCAGCAAAGGTTTGACATCTTTTATATGAGCATTGCTGTCCAGATTTCTCTTAAAAATACACTTTTATGTATTAACTTTAAATTAGTTTGATAATGGCAATTTGCTCATAGATATATATAATTTCTAAGATAGGTATTTTATTGTTCTCCTCAGGTAAAAATCTAATTTCAGGTGAAATATTACTATGAAAATTCATGGTCAAAATATAAATAAAGATAAGATAAGAAGATAAGAAATAAAATTAAATATATTCAAAATATAAAAATCTATATTTTTCCATTAAGCTAATGAATTGTTATTTATTGGTGACTTTATTAAACCCTGGAGTAGCACTGAATGATTAGTGAGTGTTGAAAACAGTAACTTCTCCTTGAGAAGATTGGTTGTCTTTTATGTTTTATTATCTTGCTTGTGTCTATTAGAAGCTCATTTAATAAGCTTGACATGTCTCCTGTGTGCCTGCAGGTGTGGGAGAGGCTGCTCGGCTCCAAGGCTCCGAGGGTGAATGTGTTCATGGCCGTACCGACCATCTACTCTAAACTCATCCAGTATTATGACCAACACTTCACACAGTCTCATGTCAGGGACTTTGTCAAAGCCGTCTGCAAGGAGAGGATCAGGTACAAACACATGATCAATATCAAATATGCTATAAAGAGACAAAACACTGCAGAGATTGTGTACAAGGTGATTCACCTGTAATTGATGTTATTTTCTGAAATATTACTCATCAGTGGTGTCAGACAGTGGTTTTCAAACTGTGGTATGTTTATGACTTGTGGTAACATGGAGGCTGAGTGGTCAGAAAACTTACCTCAAAGAGAGAAGGTGCTGGGTCCCTATCAATCCAAAACATGCACAATTTGTAAAATCTTCTGGCTAAGGTAGTCCTGACCAAACCTAGCTGTGTGTTTAATCTAAAGAACCCCAAACTGGTACCAGAATAACTATATATTTTAATGCAACTTTTTAATGCAACTAATACAACTATATAATAGAACTTGCCCTGTAAAATTTGTGCTACAAAAGGTGATTATAGTAATCCCTTTACCTGCACAGTTTAGTTTTTGAAAAATGAATTACAACTTTAAAATTTTTCTTAAATTTTAAAGTAATTAGAGATTACTTTTTTGTTGACAAAGATAAACTACGTCTTTTTCCAGCTCTGACAGATGCCTAATAAGCTGAAGTCTATATAAGTGCATCTCCATTTCCTCCATTATTCATATTACATATATGGTTACTTTTCTTGTCTCTGATCTCCAGGCTGATGGTGTGTGGCTCCGCAGCTCTGCCTCTTCCCACTCTGCAGCGCTGGGAGGAGATTACCGGACACACGCTGCTCGAACGCTATGGCATGACAGAGATAGGCATGGCACTGTCCAACCCACTCAAGGGCCCACGCATCCCAGGTACACTGCACTGACAGCACTGGCTAGTCTCTTTTAGAAGAAATAAAGTAAAGATGCTATTCTTGACAAGTGCATGTTGAAATTTAAACATTTATTTTGAAATGAAACTCAAAGGATATTCAAGAAAGAAATGTATCACAAAAAGAGGAAAATATTTTGCAAAAGATCCAGATTGAACCCAAATATTATCTGCCTCTTTCTTTAAATCTCCTTTACAGGTGCATTATTGAACATTATTGGGGGGTTGATATGTAGTATGTGTGCCTGGAGTGTTCCACGGGGTCATTTTCTGTCTTGTCTTTATTCAGTTGCGGGTGTTTATATTACCCTGAAAAATATCTATTCTTAAATAAGTGGACTCTCCTCTCTGCAGATCTGAGCAGTAACTTGGCCTGGTATTTTCACCTGCTGTACCAAAAGTAAGCAATAGAAGTACTTATTGCCAAACCAATATCCTCTCCATGGACAACATGGTAGCCTTCCCTCCACCAGAAAAGTTGCATTGTGTACCTTTAAGTCTATCAGAACCAAGACAATAAGATTATGCCATAATTATATATGCAGGAAAAATACTACTCTCAAATTAATTATGGCAAACATTTCATTAAGTCATAAAGAGCAATTAAAAACCCAGAGATAATGTATAGCTTAGATTAACACAATTATCTAAAATGTTTATCATAGACTCTAGAGAATTTCTTCTGTTTGTGTTGTTGACTAATTAGCATCATGTAACATATAACCTCTGAAGAAACACAGAAATTATGATTATCAATCAACAAACCTGTAATTTGTGTTTTTCCACCGTAATCAATTTGTTTTCAGTACACGTGCAGAGACAGTTGTGATGCAGCTGGCAAAGAGAGCGATTACAAACCTTCATAACAACATTTTTTTCATAGGTCGAATTTGTTTCTAAAAAATGCTGTTTATTGGTTGATGTGCTCATGACAGCCACAAGGGGTCGTTAAAGAAACAACTATTATGTTTTGGTTTTGTTTTGTTTGTTGTTGTTTTGGTTTTTTTGTTGGGGGGGGGTGATGGTTGGGTGATGGTTGGGTGATGTAGCTTGTGTGATGGTTTCATTTGGTCTAAAATCTTTTGTTGATGGAAGCAAATAAAAACAAGTCTAGCATTAATTAGGAGCCTCATTAATGTAATTACTAATTAGAATTTCAGGATTTTCTCTAGTTTCTCATTTATCATGTCCTGACACTTCAAAGGTGCACTATTGTCTCATGGAGATGTAAATGTTTTGCCTTGAATCCTCCACTGTATGCCATTTCTTTAATTACAGGTGTTTTTATTACTCACAAAAAAATGCATTCTTACTGTGAGCACCGCAGCCTCTCCACAGATCTGATCAGTGACTTCATCTTGTGGCACCACCTGCCTGTCTTTACATATAGATATGATTAACACCATACTGTGGAATATTCCAGGTAAAGCGATATCATCTCCATGGAGACAAGAACGTGGCCTCCATCAGAAAGGTCACGCTTCTTCATGTTTCTTTCTAACTTTTTATAATTGATTTTATCACCACAGAAAACGCCGCCAGGTTGATCCAACTTTTTTACTTTGTCTTTCAATTCAAGTCCTACCACTTTCCCTCCATATGTTTTTACGTTCATTATTTCACACTGGTGCAGTGTCAAGTTAAACCCCTAAATCCCAACATCACCTCCCTCTGATGTTCACCAAAACAAAGTTGACGTCTTGAAATGGGGTCACATGCACACTTCTCATCTTCTACCTTGCCTCGCCTTGGCTCTTTGCTCCCTTGTTCCCTTCCCGACTCTCCCTCCCACTTCCTGGTAATGCTAATTAGCCTCGCAAGTGGTTTGGGTAATGCCCCGTGCGCATGTTTTGTCGAGGATATTATTGTGTTGCTCTTGTTTTGCTTGTCAAGTTTCTCAGCATAAACTGCGCTGGCTTTGTTTGATTTCTCTCAGATGATTATTAAGAATGGCTTTGAGAGGTCTGCGGTTGTATTGATGTTTCCACTGCAGAAAAAAAACATTTGAACAAGGTGTGTGAGTGAGTGTGAGTGTGTGTGAGAGAGTGTGTGTGTGAGTGTGTGTGTGAGGGGGGTGGGCATCGTCTGTGCCTGTTTGAGTCAATGCGTTCCTGTCTTGTCTTTAAGTAGGTTAAAGCAGATCAATAGCAACCACAGGAAACACTCTCTGAAGAGCAGTGGAGACTGGAGAGGAGTCCACACAAACACATGCACCCTTATTTTTGTATCTATTCCAGCCATCAACTACATTAGCTGGATCTTAATACGGTTTTATGCTTTTTTATACTTTTTTTTTTTTTTTTTTTTTTTTTGAGGGGCTGACATCAAAGCATTTTGAATTTGTTGTGCTTTTACAGTTTTGGAACATTTCAGATTATGACAATGCTGTATAGGTCACATTGCTTTTGTTGAGATGTAAATATGGGAGATGCCTTCATCCTAGTTCCATTTTATTATTAACTCTTAGGACTGCAACAAATTATTATTTTGAAAGTTGGCTTTTTTCAATTAGTCAACCAAATATTTCAAATATACAGGTTTTTAAAACACATTATATATAATTATTTGTCATTTTGATTTCATAATGCCGCTGCCTTTGCAATTCATCTTTTGGCATTTTATAGACTGTATAGTTCAGATAGCAATTAGTGCACTATACATTTTTTTTTAATTATTACTTTTTGATATATGATATGATATAGTGAATCTTCACTGCCCATTGAAATCTGTTCACTATAAAAAATACATGTGCGCTTTCAAGTTGGGTGTCATTTTATCTTGACAAGACAGAAAGAAAATGGTGATGGGAGGAAGAATGTGCAGTTCCCAGAGTTTAGCTACAAATGGATTTTTGAGATTTTTGTCAGAGAGAAACTGGAGGCAGTTTTTGTCATTTTGTCACTGGAGAAACGCCCACGAGGCGAGATTACACTGTGCACACCACTTCACCCCAATACAAGAGGAGTGACCCAGGGTTTAGCTGGAGTTATGGGCTCTGACACTTCAAGTTTCAAACTTGTAGAGTTTAGTGATTTAAGGACAATGAGATTCTTCCAGCTTATTTAGTTTAATGACACTGCTTTTAAATCCAACCCCCAAAGCAACTGGGGAGACATATTAAGCAGGAAATAATTTGCCTTTACTTATCTACTTAGTCAAGTGTGTAAATTGACTCCTAAATTGAAGTTTAGGCTGTTATCTTTTACAATTTGTCCCTAATTTCTGTATTAGGACTCACCTGTAGGAATCAGTCCAGCACTTTATTGGACTGGTTGACTGGAAAGTGACAGGCATTGCCAATCAGGGCCAAAGTGGATTGGATCAATATAAAGTAAGAAAATTGCTTTCTAATCAGGGCTTGACCTGCTCTTCTCTGTGAGAGCAGTGGTCTGTGAAACGGCATAATTGCTTCAAGGCAGCAGTGCAGACATATACCTTTAGAGAAAAGGCTCACGACTCACAAAGACCTTCCTTTTGTACCTCCTGGTTATAATTACTTTACTCACATTTTCACACAGCACAAATTAAAACTGCAGGTTATTCCATTATGTACAGGGGTTTCCCTGCTCTGCCTTCAGCCATTATTTTAATAGATCAACTTAAACATCACAGCAGAATGATTAATGAAGTCTGCCCTTCACGTGTTCAGAATTTAGTGCAGTTCAAAATGATCAGCCCACCTTTACATTTGTATCATTGTGCTCCATTAAAAAGAGTTGTCACACACCCAAGTCTCAGTTATGATTTTGTTTTATTTCTAATATTATTGAGTTTTTTACTAAATATTCTGTACATACATATAACATGTTTTGCCTCCAGGAGCTGTAGGTCTTCCTCTTCCTGGAGTAGAGGTTCGCATCACCATGAATAACTCCATCAACACCACCATTGCAGAGGGCAATCACAGAGAAACTCAGGTAAACACGAGAAATAGCCAAGGTTCTGGTGTGGCCTGGTCTATGGACAGAACTCCCCTGAGCTTCTAAATCTCAGAAGGACTTTGATTAAAGGTTAAATAAAGTTAAAATTTGCAACACAATAGTTAAACAGTTACAGAGATCCAAAAGTGAAACATATATTGAGAACATTTTAAAGTGTCTCTTACCCTATGACACTGCAGTGATCTTGTGTCTGTCCCAGGTGCGTCCCGGGCTCGAGGGTAAAGAGGGAGAGCTCCTGGTCCGTGGAGCGTCGGTCTTCAGGGAATACTGGAACAAGCCTCAGGAGACCAAAGAGTCCTTCACCGCAGACGGCTGGTTCAAAACAGGTACCGCTCTCTGCTTCTGCAATTACACACATCACCATTAGCACTAATTGTCCTGCAGTGATCTGTTACAAGCATTTACAAGTGTAAGAAAGTAGTCTATAATTGATGATTTTGTACACTTTAAAAAATGTAAGGTGGCTGTCGCTTATCAATTACTATTAAAGTAATTTTCAGGTTCTAACCACTCTTTCTTAGTGATATCTAACTTACTGCCAACTGTGCTACTGTGTTACTACTCATACATAAACACAATAAATTGGTGATTCAGTATGGTTATGGCTGTTGCACTACATTGCTAAGAGTACTTTTAGTTTCTTTTAGCAAACAATTTTGTGACAGCACTACAATTTTGTCACCTATTCAGTGGAAGTGAACTTGTTTATGTAATACATGTGACATTTTGACAGTTTTCATATTAACATGAAGCAGTTTAGTGACTTAGCAAATACTGTTCTTACATTGTTTTTTAACAGTGATATATCTGTATACTGATTATCATATGTATCGCCATATCGTGATATTAACATATCATATTGAGTCATGATGGCCCCCGTGATTGCCAGCCCTGATTTTATAACATATGCTTAGGCCTGTCGTCATCGACCTCTGGTTCTATATATCAAAGCTGGAACAATATATTTTTGGGCTCAATATTTATCAAGTGCCCAATTTCTTTGCAATAATGGGGAGATTTTTTAGACATTTTTATTGTAATATGATAACATTTGAGCTGTAGAGAGTAGAATAACTAATGTTTATGGCTAATTATTAATTCATTCTGCAGTTTATTTATGACAGCTCATGCGTTAAATGACACTGTATATTTACAAACTGGTTTACAGGGATTATCCTGCTTTGTGTCAGTGGCATAAAGTACTTTCAATTCATTGCTGTATATCTGTGTACCAATTAGGGATGTAACAATATGATATTTATTGTGATGTGGAGGCTAACAAAATTGTAAATATGCTACTTTTTCCTTTTACAACACTGTGGTTTTGTCATAATCTAAATAATTAAGTTTTAAAGTGCTCAAAACAGTTATTTCTTCATGTAATTGACACTGAAATTACACTGATCATGTAGTTTTTTTTAAACTATATTGCTGTACTATAACTATTAATTTAAGCAAAGAGACTTGTAATTAGATATATTGTGATACTGTTTATTGTAAATCCCTAGTACCAATATATTGTGCTTCAAAATTTGTTATAGTGACAGACCTACGTATGGTTCAGGTGCACACCAAGACTGAACTCATTTTCGTGAGTTATGAGGAAGTGATAAATGGACGTTGTGTGTTTTTGGTGCTGTAGGGCATTTTTCCTCCTAAGTGCTTGTGACTGCTCTGGGCTTTAAGAAAACAGGCCCTGCTCTTCCTCTCTCTGCCTCTTTAGTCTGCGTGTGGCTACGCACAGAAAAGCTGCCTCTCCCAACAGTCCAGCACTTTTGCCTCTGCACCCCCAAAGGAATCCGTCTTAACTGCTGAGCCACCGGGAGCTCCGCGTTTGGATGGGGAAACTTCAGATTGTCACATAAAATAAAAAGTGCCCCAGGCAAAAGAATAGGAGAAAAAGTTTGAATTATTGAGCATGTGGTATAGAGGAGGGGTTAGATAGAGCAAGGCAAGCACGGTGACATGCAGAGTCCCAGAGAGAATTGAGACAGCATTGGGGAGCTACCGGTGGTCGGGGAGAGAGAGAGGAAGGGTAGAGTGTGTTTAATTGGCTTTGCAGGCTAGAAGGACAGGAGATCCAGAGCCCAGCATGCCACTGTCACACTCCATTACAGCCAGTGGCCACATAATGAGAGGCAGTGCAATCAGCTCCCCACAGACCAGAGCCTCCAGCACAGACACAAACGCACTGAGCAGCAGCAGAGAGCCAGAGCAGCGTCTCCACCAAGTCTATCCACCTGTCTATATGTCCCTCACAGACACTGCCAGGGAACACTGCAGCCAACTTTATACTGAGATATAAATGTGTTTTTCTCTATTTTATGCCCTTTCCAAGGTATTTAAAGTTACATTTATAATATGCAATTAAGCTTGAATAATTTTTGATATGGTCTTATGTGCAATAATGAAATTGTCCAAAAAAAAGTAAAGAAGTAAAGTTTACTTCTCTTTGGTTTTAAGTCATACATTCAGCTTTTAAGCCATTGAAATACCAGGATACCTGTTATTTTCTTTTGAAAATAACAGGTATCCTGGAATTAATGGAGCCAGATTGTACAATGTTACTCAAAGAAAAAACTGCAATGAATGTACATTTTCTCCATTCTTCAGTGTTAAACTCAAGACTCAAGTGCATATTTTAAGAATAGGAGATTTTCTGGAAGAACACTGTTTTTCTTTGTGAATATTTTTGCATTTTTGGAGAGATGGCTGCTGCATATTGTATAGATTGGCTAGTTTTTAGTGCACCAACTGTTGAACTGTTATGTATTTGGAAACCTAATTGCTGTCATAGATGGAGTTTATATATGAAAAATATGCCAAAATGTCAGGACTTTTTCTCTGCATGTACAGTAATATGACACATTTATAGCTGATAAGTTATTTTCAGCTCAACATATAGCTGGATAACAAGGGTAACTTTCTGTCTTCTATTCTTCTTCTAGCATTGTCTCTAAGTGTCAGACGCTCATCTAATTCTCAAATAAAATCAAATGTTCAGACTCCTATCGTCAGGGACACAGCAGTGCGTTAATCTTGATGTGGGAGCAGATTGTCGCCTCCTGGTTGAAGAGTCTTAGCGTTGACTTGAGCTACCTGGCTGCTCTGTGACACCTGCACCTTTCCCCTTGCACCTGCTCCCTGTTTCACACTCCACTCCAGCGCTCTTTTCAACTGTCTCCTCCTCCTCACAGGGACTGACGGGTGTCTTTCTATTTATTTAAGAGGATAAACAAGATGATACAAATTTCATCAACCATATGTTTTGTAGTGGGTGTTAGTCAGGCTGCTAGAATGTACCGTATATGGGGTTAATACAGCATTTTAAAAATCAAAGAAAATGTATAATATAAGTTGTGGATCTAACTATATTCTTAACAGGAAACAATTAAGTCACATGTGAGAATCAATGGTTTGACATTGATTTTTCTTTCAGCTGATTACGATATTTGACTTGCTGTTGTGGCCTATACTATTATCAATATTTTTAACCCAGTGGCGATTCCCACAGAAAGAAATAAGTTTCACTTCTGTAAAAACAATATGTTATTGTCTTTTTTTATTATTGTGTAAACATACAGCCACCTGGGCTTCTTTGCTCATCTATTTCTGTTAGAAATAAAAATAAATAAAAATCCTTAGAATACCTATTGGCCTATATACCCCAGGACCACTGACGTTGCAGCAACACCGATATGTTTAGTTCATCCCTAATAGCGGCTAGCAAATCTTACAAATGTGTTATCCTATTAATAATTTAATTAGCAGAACCACATCTCACTTTTCATGGCTAATATTTTAATTTATGACTAGGCACATCTGCCAGTTCATAGCAATGCACTAACCCCTTGAATGCATATAAAAACTGCTTCAGAAAAAAAACAGTCTAAAATTTTGTTACTATAATATGCCACATCTTAACATAAACTGCTCTGTATACACAAACCATTAAACCCCTGTCATTTTAAAATTGTCAGCAAATATGTACCATTTGAATCCTCTTGAGGCTGGAAAATGATAGTGTTTGGCAGAAGCACAATACAAGATAAACGTGGAGGCAAAGAAAGCTATTAAAGCAGACTGACAGGCGAAGAGGAGAGAGACAGGAGCGATGGAACAGAGAAAGTTGTGAATAAGGAGTGTGGAGTTTAGATCAATAGTTGGACGGAGGTGTGGCGTGCGCTGGGAGGGTCCGGGTGAGTGGCAGCGCGATAGAGGAGCTGTCACCCTCTAAGTGCGCTCTCTAGCTCACATCTCCACAACATCTCACTGCATTGATCCTCTCACATGGGTTTTCTATTTCTGAGCACAACAGTCCGCCATGCTCCACCACTACATGACACTGTGTCTTTATGTGGGGCTAAAGCACATGTAAACAGACCCAGTGCAGTCAAACAGAGTGGACATTTTAGTCATAATATTTCCTCTTCTTAGACAGGGTGGTTCGAGTAAGATTAATGTACAGTACTATGAGGATAGAGTGGCTGAGCTAACCGCAAAGTCAGGGTCTAAATCATTATAATGTGTTACGTTAAAAGTGCCCTGGATTTTAAATATTTGTACTGCAGATGACATTAAAGATCATGTTATTGGAACAATTTGAAAGAGTTTAAATTGGCTATAGTTGTTTTTGTTTCCATACCATTATGATAAAGATAATAGATTTGACTTGAATTACATTTTGACTTGCGTTTTATTTGATTTACTAAACAATTTTGTTTCCTTTTTCTAGGTCCAAAGTCACTGCTTCCTTGCTTACTCAGGGTAGCCACAGGGTCTTGAAAGTCTTAAAAAGGTCTTAAATTTCATGTTCCTAAATTAAGGCCTTAAAAAGTCTTAAATTATGTTGTCCAAGTCTTATTTTTTTCACAAAAGTCTTAAATTTCATTAGCCTATTTTTTGTATACTCAACCGGGCTGCAGTGCAATGTTAAATGGAGAGAGAGAAAAAAACAGCAAGAAATCACAATCTAATTTGGAGTATGTGTAAACAATACTTTGGTTTCTGGTGCTGGCGAATGGATTGGGGGAAGTGTAAGTTTAAACTACAGTGGCTCTTAGATTCTAGATATAATACCGTTAGTTGGTTGGTTATAATGGGTGCAATGCTGGTCTTAATTTTCACTTAAATGGTCTTAAAAAGGTCTTTAAAAAGTCTTAAATTTGGGGTAGTCAAACCTGGGGATACCCTGTTACTCTTTGAAATCAAATCATTCACACTTATAACATACCAACATTTTAATTCTTTACATAACACACTTGAAGACAACAACTTTCTTTGTTGTTTTTATCTCTTGAGTTTAAACTGGGCATAAGCTGCAGAA